ATTCTATTCTATTCTATTCTATTCTATTCTATTCTATTCTATTCTATCCTATCCTATCCTATCCTATCCTATCCTATCCTATCCTATATTCTACTCTACTCTACTCTACTCTACTCTACTCTACTCTATTCTATATTCTACTCTACATTCTATTCTACTCTACATTCTACTCTACATTCTATTCTACTCTACTCTACTCTACTCTACTCTACTCTACTCTACTCTACTCTACTCTACTCTACTCTACTCTATATTCTACTCTACTCTATACAAGAGTGCAGTACTGCAAGCTACTCCTACTGCAATTTGGCAGTTTGAATCCCACCGGGTTCAAGGTTGGCTCAGCCTTCCTCTCCTTCCTTCCTTCCGAAGTGGGTAAAATGAAGAGCCAGATTGTTGGGGGCTGACTCTGCCAACCGCTTAGAGAGGGCTGGAAAGCTCTGTGAAGCGGTGTAAATCTAAGTGCCCTGCCTGGCGCTAAGATCCAAGAGGAGGGAAGGTTTATTTTTACCGCTGGGTTTTGGGGTGTGACTTGCAGCCGGCACAGCACGTCTCCCTTGTCGCTGATGGCCCAAAGGGGAACAAAATCCTCCGTCGACCCAGGAGGCTGCGACATGATAGAAACATCTCGCAGGGCGATGGGAGGCCCTTCCAGCCAGGGCCCACTGGTGACAATCTTACATTTCCTGGAAAGAAAAGACAAAAGACAAAGAGGAGAGGATGTCAGGCACGTTTTCAGCCCTGAGGATGTTACCTAGTTGGGTCATGAGACATCTGTCAGAAAATCACCAAGCTCAGAGATCAATGAAGATCCTGTAATCCTTCTCCTTTCTACTTCTTTCCTTTTTCCTTCTCTCCTCCTCCTGTCTTCTCTTCCTCCTCCTCTTCCTTCTCTCTTCCTCCTCCTGTCTTCTCTTCCTTTCTACTTCTTCTCCTCCTGTCTTCTCTTCCTCCTTTCTACTTCTTCTCCTCTTCCTTCTCCTCCTCCTCCTGTCTTCTCTTCCTCCTTTCTACTTCTTCTCCTCTTCCTTCTCCTCCTCCTCCTGTCTTCTCTTCCACCTTTCTTCTCTCCTCCTCTTCCTCCTCCTTTCTTCTTCCCCTCTTCCTTCTTTTTCCTCCTCCTCCTCTCCGCAAGCCCCACTCCCTTCTAGCACTGATGAAGTTACCTAGTTGGGTCATGAAACGTCTGCAAGAAAACAATCAGGCTCAGAGAGCACCAAGGACCCCACAGTCCTCCTCCTCTTCCTCCTCCTCACTCCCTCTCCACTTAACACCTCTCCTCTCCAGCCCTGATGATGTTATCTAGTTGGGTCGTGAAACGTCTACAAGGAAAACCACCAAGCCCAGAGAGCACCCCGTTTCCTTTCATCACGTCACATCTACAAATAGTCTCTTCTATCGAAACTTAAGGAATGGCCCCCAGCCAATCTCACCCTGGCTGAAATCATTCATGGGCTTCTCTGAGGGAAACATTCTCATAAACGGCCTTTAGAGAACGAAAGAACGAACGAGTAGACCTTGCTGTCCCCTTGCCATTTATTCAGCAAGGCCCCTGAGCCAAACAAAATACAACTTTGTGCGAAGTGTCAACGAGTCCAGCACAGGCTTTTTTTTAATTCCGGGCCCTTCTTTCCCCGGTGCTCCCTGAGGTAAAATTTTGCTTTCCAATTGAGGCGTAAAAGGCCCAGTGAGGAAAAAGCAGGTTTGGAAGATTCCATCGGGCTTATCTTTTATCAGAGGCCAACACCTTCCTCATTTATCGGCCAAAGCAAACGTTGTGCTTGGAATGGCACCCGATGTTTAAAAGAAACAACAACCAAGAGGAGAAACGAGGAGTTCGGGGACGTGCTTTAAATGGACTTTTGCAAGAGGTGACGGGGATTACCTGGCCCAGCGTCTCCGGCGCACAAAGTCCTTCATTGTTTTGTAGCTGTGATAAGACCTGTTGGAACAGAGAAGAACACAATAACAAATGTTGGAAGGGACCTTAGAGGTCTTCCAGCCCAACCCCCTTCTCCGGCAGGGAAGCCCTACCATGTCCAAGAAACGGCTGCCCATTTCTTAAACACCTTCCGTATTGGAGCACCCACAATTTCTTCCAGTGATTAATTATCAGAATAACAGAGTTGGAAGGGACCTTAGAGATCTTCTAGTCCAACCCCCTGCTTAGGCAGGAAGCCCTATATGCCATTTCAGACAAACGGTTGTCCAAACTCTTCTTAAAAACCTCCAGTGTTGGAGAACCCACCATTTCTGGTGGCAAGCTGTTCCACTGGTTAATTATCCTGTCAGGAAATGTCTCCCTTGTTCCAGGTTGCTTCTTGTCCTGCCTTCAGGTGCTTTGGAGAATAGCTTGACTCCCTCTTCTTTGGGGCAGCCCCTGAGATATTGGAAGGCTGCTATCCTGTCTCCCCTGGTCCTTTTATTTCATCAAACTAGACATGCAATCGTTCATTGCAGCACCTGTTTGCAAGTTGCAAGGCCCCCCCGAAACATTTGACTTTCAACCCGTCCTCACACTTACGACAGCATCCAGCATCCTCTTGGACGCGTGATCAGAATTTGGGTTGTTTGGCAACCAATGTGTATTTATAACGGGTGGAGTATCCCGTGGTCCTGAGATGCCCATGTGCCCAGCCGGCTTCCAACAAGCAAAGTCAGTGTGTGTGTGTGTGAGTGTGTGTTTGAACTTCCAAACACTTCTTTTGAAAACTACACTCCCCCCCCCAACAAAAAAAAATTCCTATTCCATTTGTACCCTCATCAGCTAAGGCCTTCCACTTCGGCCCCATGATCTAACCCAGTTACTTGGAGGTGGGAGGGGGAGCAGACCCACATCCTTACGCGGGAAAGTCGGCTGCGTACTGCCAACCTTCTCGGTCGGTCCCGCCCGAAACACTGAAATCGATGGCCCAGTCGGACACCTGCGTGGCGGAGAGCAAAGGAAAAAAAATAACAAAATGAAATTGCATTCCTCTGCTTCACTCTGGAATCCCTAACAAAATAATAATAATAATAATAATAATAATAATAATAATAATAATAATAATAATAATAATAATAATCTGTTGACATCCCAGAATGCTCCCCCCCATGATGGTGGAGAGGGGATTGTGTGAATCTGAATAAGACAAGAGTCCTTTCCAGGCTGTGAGGCAACATTGACAGGGCAAGCCACTAGAATATAAACGGAGAGCAAACCCCATTCCCTTCTAACACTGATGATGTTACCTAGTTGGGTCATGAAATGTCTGCTTAAATATAACCAAGCTCAGGGTCCCCACAAGCATCGGGATCTCCTCTCGAGCACTTGATGATGTTACCTAGTTGGGTCATGAAACGTCTGCCAGGAAAACCACCAATCCCAGAGAGCACCAAGGACCCCACAGTCCTCTTCTCTTCCTCCCCACTCCCTCTCCACTAACACCTCTCCTCTCTAGCACTGATGACGTTCCCTAGTTGGGTCGTGCAATGTCTGCTTAAATACAACCAAGCTCAGAGAGCGTCAGGAACCCCACAAGTCCTGCTCCCTTCTAACGCTGATGATGTTCCCCAGTTGGGTCATGAAACATCTTCCCAAATATAGCTAAGCTCAAAGAGCACCAAGGATTCCACAGTCCTACCCCTCCCCTTTTCTTTCTTCCCCCTCCCCCTCCTCTTCTTCTCCTTCTTTCCTCCTCCACTTCCTCCTCCTTTCCACAATCCCCACTCCTTTCTAGCACTGATGATGTTCCCTATTTGGGTCATGAAACGTCGACCCAAATACAAACAAGCTACCACAGTCATTGTCCTCTCCTCCTCCTCCTCCTCCCCGCCCCTACAAGCTCAGAAAGCACCCAGGACCCCAACAAGTTCTCTCTCTCTCCTCTCCACAAGTCCCACTTCCTTCTAGCACTGATGATGTTAGCTAGTTGGGTCGTGAAACGTCTGCAAGGAAACAACCAAGCTCAGAGGGCAACCAAGGACCTCTCATTTCAACCCCGAGTTACAGACTTTCTCCTTTATCGGTACCAGGGGCCAGAGTTCAAGTTCACTTACCCAAGTCCACAGCGGGGATGGGGGCTTGGTGTTCGCTTTGGTACACTCGCATAAACCAGAGGCGTCGCTCCACATATACCGGTCGGTGGGCAGGCCTCTGTTAAGGCAAACAGGCACAAGATTCAGCAAATCGGCCTTGTTAGGTCAAGGACATTTGCAAGCGGGGAAAAAAAATGCAAATTGACAGCTGTTCATTTTTTTTTTAGGACATGAAAATGACCAGGTAGAGTAGCGCACAGTGGCGCAGAGGCAACGCTCTCGCCTCGCTATCAGGAGGTTGTGAGTTCCATCCTAAGTAGAGGCAGATATTTCTCTCTCCGGGCACACTGAGAATATATCTGCCTAACAAAACTTCTCACTGGTGACAGGAAGGGCATCCGGCCAGTAAACACTTAAGAATAGCGCACAGTGGCCCGGAGGCAACGCTCTTGCCTCACTATCAGGAGGCTATGAGTTCCATCCTAAGTAGAGGCAGATATTTCTCCCTCCGGGCACACTGAGAATATATCTGCCGAACAAAACTCCTCATTGGTGACAGGAAGGGCATCCGGCCAGTTAACACTCAGCTCCATTCAGTTGCTAAGACTTCACCCCGGAAGGGATTATGGAGTCATTAAAAGATGATGATGATGGAAATGATCAGGTAGCATAATTCTTGTTGCAACAGGCTGGCACAAACTGAATTTTTACCTGTCTGCTTTGCCTACCTGTTACTGTAGCCCGTCACGGGATTCCACCGTTGATTTTCGTAAATATAGACGCCCTTCACATCAGTCTGGGGGTGAATATTCTCAGGGCTGCCTGCCAAACCTGTTTAAGGCCAAACCATGAAAATTATCCCTCTATTTCATTTTCCTTCCTTGTTTTTTTGACTTAGGACTGAATGATCCTCTTCCACCCCAAGACTCAAAATATTAACGTAATGAATATGAATTATAGCAAATGTACAGGAGGCTTGAAGTACAGCACCCTCATAAATTAATCCAGGGTATTAGTCAACCACGCAAAACTCTAGGAGGACTTCAACTCCCAGAATTTCCCAGCCAACATGAATTCTGGGAGTTGAAGTTCACATAACTTAAAACAACCAAGGTTGAAAAAACACTGTTCCAGATGAGAGAGAGAGACAGATAGAAGTTCTTGTAAAATCGGCAGAGACTCACCCCCCCAAGTTCAACTAAATAAGGATGACTGGAAGAGGTATTTCTTACCTGACAAAAAACTTCCTCCATAACCCCCCGTGTAAATCCAGGCGGTGTGGTCATAACCCACTCCCCACACAATGCCATCGCTGTTGCATTCAATCAGGCGCAGATGTCCCCCGACTTGGCGCCAAAACCTGCAAGGAGAAGGGTCCGCTCAGTCTTATTCCTTTTTTGTGGCGGAGCTGGTAGCTGATTCAGACAGTGAGGAGGTTGGGGAGGAACATGGGCCTTGGAGTCTGGGGAAGGCTCTGCGTCGGAGGCAGAGATGGAGCCAGGGCCGTCTGACAGCTATCAGCTGCCTTCGGAGTCGGAGATCGGTGAGGCAGAAGAACAGCCGGAGCCTGTTCCCAGGGCGAGCATGCACAGAGCTGCCAGGTGAAGGGAATAGCCAGGGAACAAGGGTCGACTCGGGAGTAAGGGCACAAGTGGACATTGAATGAATGGCCTCTCCTATGGGGAATAAAGAGGAGTGAAAGGGGAGGCGCGTTTGCAGGAGACAATTAGTTCAATCCATTCGGGTGAAGATCTGACTTCTTGCCATGTACCTGCTACAGAGCAGCATTTGGAAGATATCGGCCTGGCAGTTCTCCAAGCCTAATAAAGGTCTGTAATGGAGAAATCTCTTGAAAGACTGTTGGCCGGGACTTTGCTGGAGAGGAATTCACTTTAAATTAAATAAAAGGGTTTTTTTATTGCGATGAGGAGTCAGCTTCGTGCTTTTGGGAAGCCTAAGTCAGAACATCCCTTGCTGGATCTCCATCCTTTCATGCTAGAGCTGCGATGGTGAACCTAGGGCAAGCGTGCCACAGGTGGCACGTAGAGCCATTTGTGCCTGCACATGAGCCCCAGGGTAACTTACATTACTGCACATGCGCGTGGCTCCCAGCTGATTTGGGGGCCTTTTTCGGCCTCTCAGAGGCTCGGGGGAAGCTTCTGCGGCCTTTGGAGGCTAAAAAACAGGCCTGTTTCATCACTTCCGGCATTTCTAGAAATACCAGAAGTGATGAAATGGGCCCGTTTTTTGGCCTCCAAAGGCTGCAGAAGCTTCCCTTGAGCCTCTGGGAGGCAGAAAAAGGCCCAAAAATCAGCACACAGGCAAGGGGGGTGGGGTGGGGATCGTGAAGGCATGCACAGGGGGCATGGAGGGGGGCGCGCGCACGCATTGCTTTCTGGGTGCTGGCATGGAAGTGAGTGCGCGCAAGCAATTTTCAGCGCAGGAGCTCCAAAAGGTTAGCCGCCACTGTGCTGGAGTTCTCCAAAAGAGAGATATTATTCTCGGTTCCAAAATCATTTTATTTGAGCAAGGGAGAGATTTTGAGGTCAAGGTTACTTACATTTGATCACAAGGCATCGGGTTTGTTAGGGCCTCCAGGTTGGGGCTGGGCTCGCTCACAAAGATGTCACCTTTGCAGGTCAGCGACCAGATGGCTTCAGGAGATGGAGGGCCCTGCAGCTGCCGGCCCTCACAACAAGACATGTTCAGTAGTGCCAGCTGGGAGACCCAAAAGGAATTGGGAGAGAGATACGACGTGGTTCAAACACTTCCTAACCTTAGAAGAGGATATTTGTAGCTCAAGATTGAATTGTGGGGTCCTTGGTGCTTTCTGAGCTTGGTAGCTTTCTTGCAGACGTTTCATTACCCAACTAGGCAACAAAATCAGTGCTAGTAGGGGTTTGCTCTGTGTTTACATATAAGTGTCAGTGTTGGTGGGAACGTTCTTGGTGGTTCCTTGACTAGGCTGTTGTTTACTACAAGGGTGTTTGTCTGAGTTGATGGTTCCTTGATTGGGGCATGTTTCTTTATTTTTTGGCTTTGTGATTGTCTCTTTTGAATGGTGTATAGATGTTATTTATCTCTGTGTGCCTGTTGATAGCTAATTGATCTGAGTGTCAAGAGCAAATCCCTTCTACCACTGATGAGGTTACCTTGTTTGATAAAGAAAGGTCTGCAAAAAAACAACCAAGCTCAGAGACTAACAAGTACTCTACACTTCCTACTCTTTCTAGAAGACCAAACCAGTCCCAACCAACTTTCCATCCTTCTATCGGATGGTTGTTGATCCAGGGCCCTTCCATGTTTTCCTCACCACCTTTAGAACTGCATTCCCAAAACAACTGGAGGACGATCCCATTTCAAGTGCAAATTTATCTCCTTCTAAACCATCATTTGAAAAAACAACCCATCGCCATGTGACTCTACAACTTGAGGTAAGCCACCAATCATGGTTTACGAGGCCAGGTCTGGGCTCAGCAAACAAATTAAGTCCAAAATCAACAACTTGCATTGTTTTGGGCCAGTACGTCAATCGTACTAGAATTAAGTATTTGGCCAGCTTTGGAAATCACCTCTAAACATACCCAGTCATGCATTTCTTGTTCGGTGCTCGTAGCTAGACGGACGGGCCACCGTTGCTTAGTCCTCTCCGGCGTATAGAGAGCGAAAGAATGTTTGGCCTCGTTCAGAATCTCAACCAGGATGGTGACTTCATTGAGAAACATGTGGATGTACTGGGGAACACACAAAATATGTGAACTCAGATGCTCAAGTTAAGGAGTGCAGTTAAACAAAGAAAGAAAGTTGAGAAGCATTAAGCAACAGTTTAGCTAACATTTCAAACAACGTCCAGAAAGTTTCTGTGGGACCCTTGGATCAGGTGTGGCCATAGCAGAAAAGTATCTCTTTTAAGAATTTAAGCCAGTGTATCTTAACCTTAGCCACTTTAAGATGGGTGGACTTCAACTCCCAGAATTCCCCAGCCTGCTGGCTGGGGAATTCTCGGAGTTAAAGTCCATGCATCTTAAAGCTAACAGATAACTGATAATCAGAGTTGTCCAAACTCTGCCCAAGAGAGAGACCCTACACCACTTCTGACAGATGGGAGTCCAGTCTCTTCTTAAAAGTTTCCAGGGATGAAGCTCCCACAACTTCCCTACGGCAACTTCTGTTCCATGGGTTGATTGTTCTCACTGTCAGAAAGTTTCTCCTTATTTCCAGATTGAATCTCTCCTTGTTCAGTTTCCATCCATTGTTCCTTGTCTGGCTTTTGAGTGCCTTGGAGAATAGCTTGACCCCTTCCTCCTCTCTGGGGCAGCCCCTCAAATATTGGAAGACTGCTCTCATATCTTCCTTGGTCCTTCTCTTCTCTAGACTAGCCAGGCCCAGTTCCTGCAACCGTTCTTCTTATGTTTTAGCCTCCAGTCCCCTAACCATCTTGGTTGCTCTTCTCTGAGCTCTTTCCAGAGTCTCGACATCTTTTATTGCCATGGTTGAAAAATGCTACTTTAGGTCTAAAAGCAAAAAAAAAGTTTCACACTTCACCAGGGTCCCCAAATGGTCTTTCTCTAGCGGCTAAGTAGAATTTAACTTGGCTAAAGTTTGGATGGGGGAACTACCCAAGCCGTAGGCTAGAAGTGAGAAAGAAAGATACCTGAGAAAACGCAGGTAGAAAAACCCTTTCCTGTGGTTGCCGTAGGAACAACACGGACGTGTTCTTTGGTACCCGATGAAGAATAAACGAAGGGGCTAAAATGTGTCACGTGGCTCATTTTGCAGATTGCAAGATTTCTGCTTGGTAATATTGCTCTCCAGTGGATTCTTTTTGAAATTACATTTGAGAAGTGATTTATCTTCTGAAATGTGCACGTTTCAAGAGCACTGGCTGTTCGTTTCCGAGGCATTTTTCACACATTTTTATTAGTTTATCAATATATAAACTTACGAAATTTTAAAAAGAAATAGAAAACTAGGAAGGGGGAGGGAAAAAGAGAACACGTGGAGTAAAGAGGGAAAAGGAAACAAAAAGGCAACCGACTTCCAACTCTCTTTAGCACAGCAGAAGATAACAACATCCCGTTCTCAAACTTTTCACTTTTGCACCACCATTTCTGTAGCAATAAACTTATCTAATCAGCAAAAACAGAATCAAAGTTTCCTCTTTCTTTTCATTTGCAAAATTTCGGAGACCGTTTTCATTCGCCGTTGACCCCTAGTCCCATTGCGTCGGGATCTTCTTCATTCCATCCCTACTTAATTTTTCAGAACAGAAATAGGAAAATTTACAAGCAGGGGAAACGATAAAAATGTTCTGCTCCTATAACATGAATTTTCAACCGTTGCAGCATGCCTGGTGTGTGTGTGTGTGTGTGTGTGTGTGACAGGATCACCCTCTGCAACCTTGGATGGGGTGGGGGTTGGACTAGATGACCTACACCCATGATGGCAAACCTTTGGCACACGTGCCACCGGTGGCACGCAGAGCCATTTGTGTGGGCACGTAAGCCCTAGGCAAACTTACCTCACTGTGCATGCGCGTGGCCTCCCAGCTGATTTTCGGGCCTTTTTCGGGCCTTGAGGGAAGCCTCTGCAGGTTTTGCAGGCCGAAAAATAGGCCCGTTTTGTCACTTGCAAAACGGGCCCATTTTTCCGCCTGCAAAGGCTTCCCTCAAACCTCTGACAGGCTTAAAAAGGCCTCCAATGGGCTGAAAATCAGCCGGGAGGCGCAGTGCAGGTAAGGGGTTGGTGTGTGGATTGCCTTCTGGGCGCTGGCATGCGAGCGTGCAAGCACACACAGAATTTTTGGCACAGGAGCCCCAAAAGGTTAGCCACCACTGACCTTACAAGGTCCCTTCCAACCCTGTGAATCTCTTAAACCTTCCCAGCTAGCTTCCAACAAGCCAAGTCCATGGAAGAAGCTGAATGACAGCACGATTCATTTAACAACGGGAGCGATTCTCTTAACAACAATGTCCAAACAGCCCATCAAATAAGCGAGGTCATGTGCCAACTCACTCAATGGCCGCATGGCTTTGCCGTGGCAGTTCTGCTCCCAACTGGGATTGTAAGTCGACAACCACCTGCATTTTTTGTGTCAAATTGGGGTCAGGAACTGGGTGCGAATTCAACCCCCCCGCGGCTCGGACACTCCTACCTTCTTTTCCTCATTGTGCGTGTAGTAGACAAAGAGAATGCTGTCCCGCGTCCCGTCGTTCGCAGTGAATTGTTCCAAGGCCACCTGCACGTCCACCCAACGGTAGGGCTTCCAACTTCTCCACCACTGTAAACTTCCGGTTTTCACCCAGACGGACTGGAAGAGGCAAAATTCCATCATTCCATCAGAATCAGGTATGACAAAACAACATATTGATTCAAAACCAGAAATATTTCTGGTTTGGGGGAGCCTAGCTGAAAAATAGAGTAAGGAAAATGCCTATTTAGTTATTCATATTTGAACTGCTGCCAGAATGGTATTTGCACAAAATTGGAAGAGTGAAGAAATAACCTGCAGATAAGAATGTGAATAGGAAAATATTAGAATGTGCAGAAATTAACGCTGGCAATTACGGAGAAAGAGCAAACTGAATACTATATGGCATGGGATCTATTTTATCAATGGTTAAACGATAAAAATGGAAGTTAGAAACAGGGAAACAAAATAAAGAAGATAGGTTAAAAGAAATAAGCGAATATTATGACTGGTATGTTGTATATTACTATGTTAACACTGGAGAATGAATAGATGGCTAATCTATTTACTATGTTAAATATTGCAGAATTAATATTAATGATCACTATTCAATCTAGTTTCTTGGATTAATTCTATACAGGAGGAGGAAGCATTTTAAAGATCCAAGAAAAAATTATGGGAGGAGGGAGGAATACAGGACTCTCGCTTATTGATTTATTTTTATTGGTATCCCGCCTTTGTTATTTTTACAAATAACTCAAAGTAATGAACGCATTCAAAACATTTTCCTCCTTCTATTTTCTCCACAACAACCCTGCAAGGTGGGTCAGGCTGAGAAACAAGAGGGACTGGCCCAAAGGCACCCCGTTGGCTTTCATACTTAAGGTGCAACTAGAACTCTCCGTCTCCTGGTGATTTGCCCAAAATCGTCTAGTTGATTTTGGGGCCTAAGGCAGGACTAGAACTCAAGAGTCGCCTGGCGATTGGCCTAAAGTCCCCCAGCTGGCTTTCATGCCTAAGGTAAGACTAGAACTCACAGTCTCCTAG